ATGTTCTTCTTCCTCATGTTGTGATGTTTCTTGTTGTTGAGTGGGCTCCGGATTAGGATTTGATGAGTTGGTGTGACTTTGAGAGTTGCTTACACTAAGTCTTTCCAAGATAATTCGGAGGTTGCTAGCTCTATCCGAAGGTGAATGGGTGAGATCTTGAATGTCTTCCCAATTCTTTTCTTCATAGTAGCCTTTACCCTCAACAAACTTCACATCTCTTGAGACAAGAACTTTCCTTGTTTCCGGTATATAGCACTTGTATCCTTTTTGTGTGATTGAGTACCCGATAAACATGCCCTTGACACTCTTAGGTTCGAGTTTGTTTCTTTGTTCACCTATAAGGACAAAGCAAACACAACCAAACACACGTAAGTGATTGATAGACGGTTTATTCTTGTTAAGTACCTCAAAGGGAGAGGAATCTTGTAGGATCTTGGTTGGTGTCCGGTTGATCAAGTAGCAAGCTAGGACCACCGCATCACTCCAAAAACGTTTAGGAACATTGGTGTGGAACATCATCGATCTTGCCACTTCCATGAGATGCCTATTCTTCCTCTCCGCTACTCCGTTTTGTTGTGGTGTATAAGGGCAGCTTGTTTGATGGATTATCCCGTGCTTGGCCAAATGTTGCTTGAAGGCATGACTTGTATATTCACCACCATTATCGGACCTAAAGATTTTGATCTTGGCATTGTAATGGTTAGTGACATAGTTTTGAAAGTTGATAAAAGCCTCAAGAACTCTATCTTTAGAAGGTAACAAAGTTAACCAAGTATATTTAGACTTCTCATCAATGAATGTGACAAAGTATTTCTGATTTTCTCTAGATAAACAAGGTGAAGTCCAAACATCCGAATGAACCAAATCAAAACAATTCTCATAAATAGTATTAGACTTGGGAAATACGGATTTGCAATGTTTACCAAGGATACAAGCCTCACATTCATTATTCTTAAAGGAAATACTTGGTAACAAAAGACCTAAAGCACGAGAATGAGGATGTCCTAATCTAGCATGCCAAATAGCATTATTCGCATTAACAAGAATTGAGCTAAAGTGAGAAGATAGAGGAGTAGAAAGCTTTGTATCTTCAAGAACATAAAGACCATCCTTTGTACCTCCATGACCAAGCACTCTACTAGTCTCAATATCCTGAAAATGAACATCATTAGGACCAAAGATAGCATAGCAATTAAGATCGGTAGTAGCTTTCTTAACGGATAACAAGTTAGAAGTGAAGGTAGGCATATAGAAAGCTTTAGACTTTTTGCTAAACAATTCTAAATCTCCTACTCCTTTAACCGGAATCTTATCACCATTAGCAATTATGACATTTCCCAAAGCTGGTTCAATGTTATTCATCAACTTAGAGTCACTAATCATATGGTGAGAGGCTCCCGAATCAACAATAAGAGGTTTTAAAGCACTAAGAGCATGATAAGCGTTACCGGAAGACTCTTTGAGAGCCTTGATGAGTGCGTCGAGGTCAGAACGTCTCACAAGGTCGGAAGAGGCCATCATTGCGGCTCCATTTCCTCCCAAGGCTTGACTTGATGTTCCGGCTTGCTCTTGGCCTCCAAGGTTCCCTCCGGTAGCTTGGTTTGCTCTTGGCTCTCTTCGTGCTGGCTTTAGGTGAGGGTGAAGAATCCAGCACTTCTCTTTGGCATGTCCACTCCGTTTGCAATGATCACACCATGGAGCTTTCCCACGGTTGGCATTGAAGTTCCCACGGTTGGCGGATGCAAGCTCACTTGAGTTGCCCGAGACAAGCTCTCCTTTGCTACCAAACAACCCGAGAGATCCTTGCTCCTTTTGGATTTGAGAACACACTTCTTCAAGGTTTTGGAGCTTGTCAGCACGGAGAAGATGCTTGATGAGGTCGTTGTACGCCGGACTCAAGGTGAAGAGTAGACCAAAGACCTTGTCTTGCTCACGCCTCTCGTTGATGACCGCCGGATCAAGAGTGTTGGGTCTCAACATCTCAAGCTCGGCCCAAAGAGACCGAAACTTCCCAAAGTGTTGAGTGAAATCCATGTCTCCTTGGGTCAGCTCGTTGATGGCTTTCTTGATCTCAAAAACACGGCTTAGGTTGGATTGGTTTCCAAAGACATTTTGCAAAGTTTCCCAAAGATCCTTGGGAGTCTCACAATAGGAGTATCCTTCAAGGATTGATGCTTCAAGGGAGTTTTGGAGAACTGATAAGACCATTTGGTCTTCTTGGAACCACTTGTCTTCATCAACAAGGGCGATCTCCAAGCCATCTTCGTTCGTGGTTGTCTCTCTTGGTGCTTCACTCTTAATGATGTGAGGCCAGAATCCACGACCGCACAAGATGGTCTTCATGGTTCTTGCCCAAAGCAAGTAGTTTCCTCCTTTGAGGGTGACTGGAGCACGAATCTTGGTGTTCTCCATGGTGAGAAGAATCGAAAAGAGAATGAAGATTGGAAAAGAAGAAGATTTGCAAGAAGAATCGAGTATGTGGAGCTTTATGGCTCTGATACCATGTAAGAATGTGGAGATTAGGTTGCGAGAATGGGACTGAGAATAAGCGGAAATGGAGATTAGAGAGATTAGAGAGAAAGAGATTTGAAGATGAGAAAGAGAGAGATTATCTCTTCTTACTTGATTTGGTAATTACATAGGTTCCCTTTTAAAGGGGATACAAAAGGAATATCCAAGAAGGATATCCTATTTACAACGGTCATGAAGACCTAAAAGGAGAAAGAAAACGCGTCTAAGGATAAGGCAACACGTCATAGAGTAAAGCATAAAGCAACTCTTGTCTTTTTCCTCTTTTGAACTTGCAACGGCTACAAGGAAGACTCGGGAAGGGTCTGGAGGCTTCTAGAAGGGCCTTGGAGAGGATCCAAGGCTAAATGACCGAGAGAAAACATCACAGGCCGAGACAAAACTCCAAACGTACGGACGGACTTAAAAGCTGGCCGTACGGGCGAGATCTTAAATCGGTTGTGCAACCGATCGTCATAACCGATCGATAGTTATATGATGCGTCGATCGTTTGTGCAACCGATTTACACAACCAAGCGGCAAAACCTTTTCTTACCTGATCGGTTGTGCAACCGATCAGCAAGACCGATTGGAAGACAAGTTTCCCGTTTCTTCACTTCATTCAATAAAGATCTCTTGTGTATAACCGGAGAAGGATGGAGGTTAGACTTGGATCCAAATTCAACCACCTCATTAAAAACCTAAAGCTCCAAAACAGACAACTCATAGGACTTCGGCCACACCCAAAAAACTTTGAGAGGCATTAAGAAGCTTTGCTAGTGTTTTTGGTGTCAAATATGACTAGATCTCATTTGTATGATTGGGTATAAGAACTAGAACCGCAACCGGATCCCAAAAGCTAAAGAAGTGTCACTCCGTTTAGAAGCTCCAAAACCAAAAACTCATAGGACTTCGGCCACACCCAAAAAGCTTTGAGAGGCAATAAGAAGCTTTGTTAGTGTTTTTGGAGTCAAATATGATTAGATCTCATGTGTATGATTGGGTATAAGAACTAGAACCGCAACCGGATCCCAAAAGCTAAAGAAGTGTCACTCCGTTTAGAAGCTCCAAAACTAAAAACTCATAGGAGTTTGGCCATACCCAAAAAGCGTTGAGAGGCAATAAGAAGCTTTGTTAGTGTTTTTGGAGTCAAATATGACTATATCTCGTGTGTACGATTAGATATAAGAACTAGAACCGCAACCGGATCCCAAAAGCTAAACTAGTGTTTCTCCGTTTAGAAGCTCCAAAACCAAAAAGTCATAGGACTTCGGCCACACCCAAAAAGCTTTGAGAGGAAATAAGAATCTTGGTTAGTGTTTTTAGAGTCAAATATGACTAGGTCTTGTGTGTATGATTGAATATAAGAACTAGAACCGTAACTAGATCCCAAAAGCTAAACTAGTGTTTCTCCGTTTAGAAGCTCCAAAATAGACAACTCATAGGACTTCGGCCACACCCAAAAAGCTTTGAGAGGCATTAAGAAGCTTTGTTAGTGTTTTTGGAGTCAAATTTGACTTTATCTCTTGTGTATGATTGGATATAAGAACTAGAACCGCAACAGGATCCCTAAAGCTAAACTAGTGTTTCTCCGTTTAGAAGCTCCAAAACAGACAACTCATAGGACTTCGGCCACACCCAAAAAACTTTGAGAGGCATTAAGAAGCTTTGCTAGTGTTTTTGGTGTCAAATATGACTAGATCTCATGTGTATGATTGGGTATAAGAACTAGAACCGCAATCGGATCCCAAAAGCTAAACTAGTGTTTCTCCGTTTAGAAGCTCCAAAACCAAAAAGTCATAGGACTTCGGCCACACCCAAAAAGCTTTGAGAGGAAATAAGAATCTTGGTTAGTGTTTTTAGAGTCAAATATGACTAGATCTCGTGTGTATGATTGAATATAAGAACTAGAACAGCAACCGGATCCCAAAAGCTAAACTAGTGTTTTTCCGCTTAGAAGCTCCAAAACCAAAATCTCATAGGACTTCGGCCACACCCAAAAAGCTTTGAGAGGCATTAAGAAGCTTTGTTAGTGTTTTTGAAGTCAAATATGACTAGATCTCGTGTGTATGATAGATTATAAGAACTAGAACCGCAACCGGATCCCAAAAGCTAAACTAGTGTTTCTCCGTTTAGAAGCTCCAAAACCAAAATCTCATAGGACTTCGGCCACACCCAAAAAGCGTTGAGAGGCAATAAGAAGCTTTGTTAGTGTTTTTGGAGTCAAATATGACTAGATCTCATGTGTATGATTGGGTATAAGAACTAGAACCGCAACCGGATCCCAAAAGCTAAAGAAGTGTCACTCCGTTTAGAAGCTCCAAAACCAAAAACTCATAGGACTTCGGCCACACCCAAAAAGCTTTGAGAGGCAATAAGAAGCTTTGTTAGTGTTTTTGGAGTCAAATATGACTAGATC